ATGCAACTTTGATTAATGCTGAAAATGAAATACGCCAATGAGTAGTCATTTTATTCAACGAAACTTTGAACCGAGATTACTGATTACAAAATGTCAATTTCATCCAGTCGTTTTATGTTGAAACCATGCGGCAACTTTAATCTTTAATTACATGTTGGAGCCTTTTGATGCAATATGGCGTTAGACCATTTGCATCATTCACTGCCGACAAGGGCTCAATTCCCTTTTTGGTTCACGTATTTAGAGAACAAAGGTCTCATGAAATATTCTGTCATTGATAATCATTAGCAGATGAATCTAAAGTACAGCGGTAAACATCAATAACAGAATGGAAGCATTATAGCTATAATAACCGCTGACCTATAGACCCCAGTAACTGAATTTTCTTCCTACGGTTCTCCAACAGAAGTATCCTGTAATCTCATAGAAACAAAGCACCAGTGAGGCTGCGTGACTCCATGCACCCATCTTATAAGATGCACTGTTGTTTTAGCAAGTGGACACAGCTGACTGCCATTCCCACTGTAATCTGATTTCCAAAGTAACGAATTCACTGTGCCCTGAGCGCTGTCAGTTTAAGTGCTTTCCCTCACTGTAGTAACTGCGTATTAATGGACGAGGGTCGTTGGGGAAAAAAACAATGATTATATTTATACACTTTAATGGATGGGTTAATTCGATTAAACCACAGAACAAAACAGCGATCTCATGCTAAAGTTGCAATAAGTCACGGGATGGACGGCAATTTGGTGGTTGGAATGGGTTCTCTCTCAAAGTGTTTTCCTACAAAGAGGCTAAATTGTTCCCTCAACCCTCAGGACGGCAGGCCGCAGTCTTAGCAGAAGAAACACTCGGTCATGCATTGTGAAATTTGAGGTATTTCTGTCTAGATGAAAGCAGACTGTAAATTGCCAACCTCCAGCTGCCCAGAAATGAATTATAAACACATACGGAAAGAATGCACAAACAAAGAAGTGGAAGCTGACTGAACTCTAAGTGCTGCTTAAAACAGAAAAATCAATTAATGTCAGGCAAAATAAACTGGGCACTGGGTGTGTATATGACTTGGCATAGAGACATAAATTAGATTAAAAAAATGAAATAAATAAAAAAAAAATCAGCACACTTTTTTGCTAAATAACCGTGTTGTTTAAGCGAACACAAAATCTTGAAATTGAAAAACGCATGTCTGAAAAACAGATGCTTTACCATAATGATAATTTGTCACTACAATAAATGCAAGTACATTTAGCACATTCATTTTTTTCAACACTATGCTAGATAAATAGTTTCAAAATGCTGCCTGGGGATAAACTTCAAAATGTAATTATTAGTAATAAAATGAAAAAAAAAACTCATTGTATGACTAAATTAACCCCATACTCCATTTTTTGTCTTCGTCCTGCACCATAATCCAGAGGCAAGTGTGAGGGTTCACAAAATGGCGGACAAATCCGTAAACTGGGGCAGAATGTGGTGCAATGCCACCTACAGGAGCTGAAGTTTGACACGAGCATCCAAGGTCAAGCTTGAAGTCATTAATTTCAAGCATACCAATCACAATAGAGGTTAATGACCCTAAGAGAATAAAATCCATGTGGATTCAGACAGTCATATCCGTGTCTTGTCCTCTGACACTAGGCATCCCTCATAACCTTGAGGAACCAATTACACTATGCCAAAGAGTGAGAAAGTCAAATAAACCCATACAAAGAAATGCTTCCTTACCAGAACCATGGGATCTTATTATAGCGAATTGATATTTAATAGTGAATAAAAGTTTGAGTCGATAATCTTTATTCGCACAGATTTACTTGCACAGAGAAAACAAACAAAAAAAATCCCATAATAGTTCCTGTCATTAATTCATTGGTAACACTTTACAATAAGGTTCATTAGTTAACATTAGTTAATGTATTTACTAACATGCACTAACCATGAGCAATACATTTGTTAATCTTTGTTAATGTTAGTTCATGAAAATACAGCTGTTTGTTCATGTTAGTTCACGGTGCATTAACTAATGTTAACAAGATTTTAATCAAGTATTAGTAAATGTTGAAAATAACATTAACAAAGATTAACAAATGCTATATGTGCTATTCATTATTAACTAATGTAATGTTAACTAACGAACCTTATTGTAAAGTGTTACCAATTCATTCAAATAAAGAATTATTATTTAATAATAATAATAATGATAGCAATAAATAAAATAACTAAATATGCCACACTACAAAAATAAAACATTTTTGCAACGCTTAGCAAAACATCAATAATAATAGGACATGCCACGTACTTCTCAGCATTTCACAAATTAAATAAAGTCTTCTTTCTAACTCTCTACAGATAAGAGGGCCTGCTAAATAGCTTAAAAACTAAACGTTAGACACACAAGCATTCACAGTAACTATTTAGCTGCTCCATTAAAAAATGTAATCTCAAAGATTACTCTTCGGATCTGAACAGCTCCATTCTGAAACGGTCCCATTTCTCACATTTCACCCTAAATGCTCTTTATAAGTCACCAGTCTCCTCGTAGACCTTACCGTAAAGCCACAAGGGTTAAATCGACACCTCAGGGCTGAGCTCATAGAGAGCAGAAATGTATTTCAGTGTATTTATTTATGCTCTGATTGGGGTCATTTAGCACAAGTCATTACAGTCTCACACTTCTAATTGAGCCACACAACAGACTCAAACAGTCGAGAGTCCTGACTTCAACCACACCAGACGGCACAGCTCGCTTTTATGGTAGCGTGCTAGAAAACCACAACTCAGAATGAGCCCGCAAACTCGAATTTCAGTTTTCCAGGTTCGCAAAAAACTGAGGCAAATCATTGGAGCTACAATGCATATCTGCTCTGCGTTTCTGACCGTCCAAACCTGGAAGAACTGATATACATCTCATAGATTTACTGGCTGACCAGTAAAAATCAATAGCACGGGTTAAAAACTCTGCAGCCTAATAATAGCGATGCCTTTTCCCTGAGCTCTCTCTCTCTCTCTAACACAGAGAGAGAGGGAAGACCCATCTCAGTTTAGCTGAACAAACATTTCACTGCTCTGACATAGCACAGCAGACACAAACACACATAACTTGCAGGTAAAAAAATAGAGAACAAAATTATCCAGATCTCCTGTAATCAGAGATTGAATTATTTGAATATGAATATGGGACAGAAGTATTATTTCTAATTTACTATTGTAACCATTTACTTGTAATGCAAAAATCAAGCCCTTTTTAAAGGCAGTCTCTTTCTTAAAAAATAATGAATACATTATACACTCTACTCTGCATTCTTTCCTTTAAGATGAACTGGAGAAAAGAATAAGACATGCAAATAAAATTATATTCTTGTTTTTAATAAAAAGAAAACTGTTCAATAAAATGTTCTTACAAAGGATAAAGAGCAATAATCCCCAGCAAAAAAACTACAAATCTAGAACTCAAAAAAGAACTTTAGAATTTCCTCACAGAACTAATGAGAGCAAACATCTGTGGACTTTTCAGTAATGACTTATACATTACATGCCACAGTTTTAACCAATTATAAGTTTGACTGTGTGGTTACACAAAGCCCTATCCTCAGCCAGAAACAGCCCTTGAGAGCGGTCTGATGAGGGGTGCTGGGGTGTTCCGAGAGGGGGGCTTCATCTTAGACTATTTAAACCATATGGTGATATGAAATGAACAGTACTGATCCCGCCTCAGACACATCCATGAAGAAAGAATATTAAACAAAATAACAGTCTCTTCAAAAGGCTGACAGGATATCAGACTATGCATTTATTAACATATTTTGGGTGATTATCAACCCCAACGGCACAATGTAACTGTGCACAGCCCTCAGTAACTCATAACAGACACCAAGTGTCAAACAGTAAGCGTGCAATAAATGAGGCCATAAAGTTACAATATGCTCACAGAGAGGCTAATTTTGTGAAAAGCCCTATAAGTACTTTTAAATGGAACACACAAGTGGCTAAGTGAGGCCTTTTTGTGTGCGTTTTAGAATCTTAGTGGTTTTATGAGTGAAATCGCATATAAAAAACTCAAATGGAAGACCCTGAGTATTCCTCGATGTTTAGGACTGATTTAAATGACTTTACCCAACTTGTATCAGAACTGATCAAAGAATATATATATATATATATATATATATATATATATATATATGGTGATTATTCAATTGGAGGCTTTTTCAACAACTTTGTTTAATTGATATTAAAATATACATCACAAATCCTACAATAAAGATCAGAGTATATGGCCTCAGCAACCTTCGAGTGGATTTCAGGATATTAAAATAATGTGTGACAGATTTTTTTTTTTTTTTTTTAGGTTTTGGAAAAAAGTTGAAAAGCACAAATTCATTTTTAAAAAGATACTGCCTTTATATTTACATGATAACCAATTAGAAACTTTTTTTAGGATGATGGTAATGACAGCAGTATTGTGGCACTGAATCTTTGACACATAAAATACAATTATAAATTGAAATATAATAATAAAAAAATGTTTTAGGTGCCAGTAAAAAAAAAATATATATATATATATATATATATAGATAGATAGAAGATGAGCCCAACATAGTGTTTAATTGTTTTAAATATTGCATTGGCAACTATTTCTATATTTCAAATTAGGGAAAAGTTGTATACAGACAAAATAAAAAGTTGTACACCAGAACACTGGAATAAGGGTTGTTTATATAAAGCCTTTTTTTCCTAGAGGGTCAGAAACGTTCCTGTAATCGAGTCACCCATATGTTTCTCATATAGACACACACATATACAGACACACAAACATATATGTTTGTTTGTGTGTGTGTGTGTGTATAAAAGGTAAAAAATAAAATAAAAATAACACAAAAGGGAAAAGTTCCAAACAAACTCTGGCCTGATTGTAGTTCTGAAGACCTCGAGTAAAACCTGCTTGTCATGTTGAAACTTGACTCACACTGCTTTCAGTAATGATGCAATGAGGTGTTTCTTACCTGGGATTCGTGCTGTTCCAGTACACAGCATACCGGTCTGAAATGATCTTACTGTCATCCGCACACACGGTGACCCAAAACAGGAAGACGACCATGAAAAGTGTCAACTCCATCTGATATGCAATAGAGTTCTTGTCCATAATGTCAATTAACAGGGAGAAAATATAAGCTCAGTTAATGATAGATGCGTTTAAAGGGAACGATCATGTGTGTGAGAGTCTTATTCAAAAGCATCACATTCTCCTGTGAAGGAATAAAAGTAAAGTCAAAGCTCAGTGAAAGAACTTATCACTGAGGATCCATCCAGCATCTCGACCTCCATAGCTTGAGATGTTTCCATCTCAGAAGCACTGCTTGTCAAACTATAATACCGCTGGCTTTTCACATCCATTCTTCCTCCCAGAGGCTTTTAAAAAAAACTTTTTGCAGACTCGTAAAAAGTGGCCAAGTAGTTACCATCCATTCTGGCGAACGTGCGCGCTCTGAAATCCTACGGATACTCCACACATGCGCGTGGTCCGTGAGTCTCCTCTCCTAAGCCACCTGACCGAGTCGGTCTTCTTTGTCACCAGTCAATGAGAGTAAAAAGTAGCCAACACTTCAGTGTCGAACTGCCATGTAAAAGTTATCTCGGTTGCGGGCTCGTTGCGCGCTCACAAACGCGATGCTGAACCCACACGCGCCGCATCACGCGCAAAGTTGATGATGTGGGGCTTTAAATGTCGCTTCTGCGCGCGAACAACTTGCTGCTCCTTACAGACAGTCGCTCTCACGAGTGTGAAATGACATTTTATCTGTTTCCTACCTAAAGATGATCAGTCCTGCCTCCACAGCGCGCTGTCTCTCTCAGCACATGTCTCAGTCTCTTCGCTGTCTCGTGTCTCCTCGACTGCGGGGCGGAGCTGCTTGAAGAGGGACCGCCTGGACCTACACACTCAAACTTTGGAGATATTGCCAGTTAAGAAGAAAAGACCATTATATGAAATTATTACAGCTCGCATTAGATAAATAATGATAAGTGTGTGGGTTGTGTGACATGTTTAAATGTTGTTGTTTGTAATATGAGCAGTGAGCACTATAAATGTAAAATTGTTTGTAATTTTGCGGTGTAAACTAATTGCCAGCTGTGCTTACCAGATCTTTACCGTACAAATTCAGGGTCAATACTACAAGCATTAGGGTGCGGTTTTTACCTCACTTTCTAATGGTCATTCAATTATAACAATATTTTTTTATTTATAAAATTTATTTATTTATAAAAATAAAAATTTTGCTAATTAAATGTAAAATGTAGGCTATATACCAGTCAAATGTCTCGAAACATTACGATGTTTTATTGTTTCTGAAAGAAGTCTCTTCTCTGCTCACCAAGGCGGTATTTATTTGATCAAACATACATTAAAACAGTAATATTGTGAGATAGTATTACAAATAACTGTTTTATTGTTTTAAAAGTAATATATTTCTATGATGATAGAGCCGAATTTTCAGCATCAACTGCACTCATCAGTATGTTCCTTCGGAAATCATTCTAACATGCATTCATTATTATTATCAATGTTGAAAACAGTTGTGCTGCTTGATTTTTTTTTTTTAAACCATGATACACTGCCATTCAAAGGTTTGGGGTGAGTAAAATAATATTTTTATTCAGCAAGGACATATTAAATTGATTAAAAGAGACAGTAAATGCATTTATATTATTATAAAAGAGTTCTATTTTAAATAATTTTCAAATAATATTTTTTAACTTTCTATTCATCAAAGAATCTGAATAAAAATGTATCAATTTACACAAAAACATTAAGAATGCAAAACATTATTAATCATTAGGACCAATAGGCCTTTACTGTTTATGAAGGATCATGCTGTAAAAAATAATCCTGTAAAAAACCGGTGGTTGCCAAAAAAAATGTGGTTGCCAGCATCATACTGTAAAAATACGGTGTGTTAGGCTACTGTTTTTGAAATTAACAGCTAAATACTGTATAGTCAGCTACAGAATAAAACTTTGATTTAACTGCTATATGCTCTAACACACAAAAACAGTAACACACCGTATTTTTATGATGCTGGCAACCACAGCTGCCATAGTTTACCGTTTTTTTAAAGGATTATTTTGCAGTGTGACATTGAAGACTGAGTAATGATGCTGAAAATTCAGCTTTGACATCACATGAATAAATTACATTTTAAATTATATTAAACAGAAAACTGTTATTTTAATGTGCAATAATATTTCACAATATTACTGTTTGTACTGTATTTTTGTGAGCTTACGGGATTTCTTTTAAAATGATCTAAAAATCGTAATGTTTTCAAACTTAGTACTTTATATACTGGGACGATATACTGAGTTCATTATTAATTATAAAAAAAAAAATTAAAAATAAAACTTTTTGTGTGTGTGTGTGTGTGTGTGTGTGTGTGTGTGTGTGTGTGTGTGTGTGTGTGTGTGTGTGTGTGTGTGTGTGTGTGTGTGTGTGAAAAGTATATTGCCTTTGAAAGTAATTTACAGTTTGCAGTTTAGCATTATGTAAATTAATTTTCATTTACGTTAATTTTCTGTATTATTACTTAAATTATTTAATATCCATAAAGGCATGTTCGAATTTATTAATTTAATTCTCATATTTTAATCTTGACTTCTTTAAAGTTTCTTGATTTCTTGCTTTTGTCTAGAAAAGTAACACATATTTGAAAAGTACCCTGATATGATATATAATGTATCATAGAGATATTATTTTTTATTTTGATATTATTTTTATTTCAAATATTACTGTTGTACTATATTTGCAGTGCTGCTTGGTGCTTGTTGCTGTCTTTAGTGTAAAACTGCTAGAGAGAGAGAGAGAGAGAGAGAGAGAGAGAGAGAGAGAGAGAGAGAGAGAGAGAGAGAGAGAGAGAGAGAGAGAGAGAGAGAGAGAGAGAGAGAGAGATGTGTGATTCAGCACTGATTAATATTTAAAAAGTAGAGTAGGCTGGGGGCTCAACAGACACACAGGAAAGAAAAATACAAATGAAAGTTTAATTCTGCTTTTAAAGATGGTACAGAGATTAATGGTGCTCATGTATTAAAGATTCAGGGTGTGCTCTGCATATATGTATGGAGCATGGAGTGCTTAATGACTTGTGGAGGGGATTGTGAAATCATTATACCCAGGATACAGATGCTATAGGAGGAGACACAGCACACACAGATGCCAAAAAAAAAATCGAAATAGCCTACTAGCAGAAAAAAAGTCACGCTTGGCTATTATAAAATAAAATATGATTCAAACTCCATGATAAAACAGCATGTGTCCATCTGACTGACTGGCTTTCTGAATAATTTGTTTTTCTTTTTACAAAGACATGTTACAATTGTAAAATGGGCCACGAAATCGATCCAAATGGCGGAATTCGATTCGTGGTGAAGGTTTCAAGCGTGTTCCGTCTCTTCCATGGCAAAGTGAATTTTAATTAAGTGCAATACATTTAATCTATGCATTAACTCGTTTCATCTGACTCCATAAAATGAAAAGGGTTTATCAATGATATCTGTGCATTACACTGTAAAAAATATTTTCAAGATTTGTTATCACAACATATTTTCTTTTGTCAAATCAACTTTATAATAATTTATTTAGTTGAGATAACTTATTATTTTGAGTTTCTGATGTTAAATTAATCTACTTCATTGTATTAACTCACTTTTTCCAGTTCAATCAACTTAAAAGTTTAAGGCAACCCAGGTTACTTACTTTTTTAAGTTAAACCATCAATATTTTTTTTAAAGTGTTGTAATCACAACATTTTTTCTTTTGTCAAATCAACTTAAATAATTTATTTAGTTCAGATAACATATCATTTTGAGTTTCTGATGGTTAAATTAATCTCCTTCATTGTATTAACTCACTTTTTCCAGTTCAATCAACTTAAAACTTTAAGGCAACCCAGGTTACTTACTTTTTTAAGTTAAACCATCAATATTTTTTTACAGTGTATTTAATACGTTAAAGGGTTAGTTCACCCAAAAATGAAAATTCTGTCAGTATTTACTCACCCTCATGTTGTTCCAACCCCGTAAGACCTTCGTTCATCTTCGGAACACAAATTAAGATATTTAAGATATTAAGATCGCTCCTGCATACAGTCCATAGGCTTCTTGAGGGACTGGCTCTTGCTGTCCTCGAAAAGTCATTAAAGACATCGTTAAAATAGTCCAAGTGACTACAGGGGCTCAATCTTAAGTTTAACAAACGACGAGAACACTTTTGTGCGCAAAAAAACAACAAAAATAACTACTTTATTTCAACTATTCGTTTATTTCTCCCTCTGCGCGAGTCAGGTTACTAGTTTAATAGCGTAAGCTTCTGTTATTGTACGTCACACGCATCACACACACATGACCAGCGTCGGCCAATAGTGAGCGTATACGTGTGACGTAGCTCTACGCTATCACACTACGTTAACTGACTACTGGCGCATGGAGAAGGAAGTGAATAGTTGAAATAAAGTCGTTATTTTTGTTGTTTTTTTGCGCACAAAAGTGTTCTCGTCGTTTGATAAACTTAAGATTGAGCCCCTGTAGTCACTTGGACTATTTTAACGATGTCTTTAATGACTTTTCGGGGACAGCAAGAGCCAGTCCCTCAAGAAGCCTATGGACTGTATGCAGGAGCGATCTTAATATCTTAAATATCTTAATTTGTGTTCCGAAGATGAACGAAGGTCTTACGGGGTTGGAACAACATGAGGGTGAGTAAATACTGACAGAATTTTCATTTTTGGGTGAACTAACCCTTTCATGCTTGACTATTCCTTTTAACTCTAATGAAATAAAGTCAAATTCTGTTAGAATAGCCAAATATAACAATTTATTATGTCAGGTAAATGTCTTATTACAATTCCACAAGATAATCAATGCAAACCATCAATGTTTCAAAGAACAAAGAACTTTACCCAACATATTAGGCTACATGAGCTGAGCCTTGAAGACACAACATCATGGGCTGATCTGAATACAGAGAGGCAGCCCCGAACTCTAGTTACATCTCCCTTTATTATCAGACCTCACCTGATATGTAAATCACCAATTGAAAATTACTGAATCTCCCCAAACATGCTTATTGGGCGCAGACCATTTACTTGGTTGTAAATTGCATTCAGACAACAAGGCAGAAGGTGTTAACTCAAAGACACACCCTTCAGTATCTGTTCAAGATATTTGTATATTCTTAAAAACCTTATTACCTTTTCTTTTATTACTTTGGAAATGAGACATTATTACCAGTCACCATGAGACCATCAAAATGATTCTAAACAATCCTTAAAGTTTATCACATTCACATTAAAAAACATATTCGTGTGAGTTTTCAGTGTCATTGACTGACTAAGAGGGAGAGAGAGAGAGAGGATGTAAATTCTCAGAGAAAGGGGGTGTCAAATGTTAATTTGCAAGCAATGCCATTTGTCTTCAGAGGTATTTTCTTGTTCAGATATTTTCTCTTTAACCAGTTTTCCAGTCTTACACAATGGAAATAAATATCCAGCCCAGTTCACATTGTTTACACTTTCACAAGAAATGTGATTCACACTAGTTTTACCCTATTGCGCTGCGGGTCTTGGGCTAAGATTAAGTGTTTGCCAGCAGAGGGCAGCGTGACTCACTTCAGTTTGACCCTATGACTGGATCTGCTCACTTGGCTTTGTTTTATTCTGACATTCTCTTATCTGCCTCCTTCACTGCTGCGTTAGATCAATCAGCGACCATATTCAAACTCTGAAAGCCCTAATAGATGCTCTGAGAGGAAATGTTACCACTGCTGCTAATAAACTGTTCACAAACAAATTACACTACCTCGTGGAAATCTTTTGACAAGCCCGGACAATGTT